ACCCATCGTTAGACTAAATACAAAGAGGAATTACATGAGCACGTGTAGTCGTGATAAGAGGTAGGAACACCAGGAAGAGGCGGCCTGTTTATGTACTAGTTTCTTCATCCGGTGTGTCCAGAGCATCAGAGTGTAAATTTACTCATTTTGCTCTATATGTAGTTCGTGGTGGAATCTCGAGAAAGACTTATATTTAGGAATGGTGGGAATAGTAGCTGGTAAAGAAAGTGTGCACGAAGAGTATGATTTGCTTGGCCTATAGAAGTATGCGACTAATCCTTCTTTTCTGTTCTTTTTTTTTCTCAAAAAGATCCATGTTCCTTGCATGTATGAAATCGATTCGAGTTCTGTGCTCTCACTTAGTATGTCTTTGTAGATAGATGTTACAAATTCAGTTTGGTATTATTTCACTGGATAGACTTCATTTTCAACCATTTGCAAGCTGCTACGTAGTACAATTTGCTAACCTTTAAGTTGACCTAGACCTTTGATCATCCTGAATGTCTTGCTATATGTGCAGATATACACACACAACCGATCAATATGAAGCGGGGTAATAGTAATACAGTTAAATTATTGAGTAGTATACTGGTGCTGGTCGTCTTGGTTTTGTTGACTGGTAGTGTTCGATCTGATACATGCTTGAATACTGTTAAAGAAGACTCCAAATTAGGGGCACCCAATTACTCCGGTGTAATATATACAGTCGACACTACTAGTCCTGATGCCTATAGGAAGATGATTGCTCGCCTGCGAGAGCTGCTGACAAGGCGCGGGGAATACCGGCAAGGAGTGCCGATACTTCCTGAGCAAACAAGCGTGCCTGATTCTCAGCGGTACATCTTGCTTGAAATCATTGTCGCGGGCACACCAAGAGGTGTAACATTTGCTATCGATGTTACCAACGTTTACATCGTCGGTTATCTTGTTGGTAGCACTAGATACTTCTTTATGGAAGCTCCAGCCAGGGCAGAGGAGCTGCTCTTCACAGTTGCGGCAATTCAAACTTCACCAACAAGGAGGTCATCCAACTATGCCAAGCTGGAACAAAATGCAGGTGCACCGAGGAGGGCCATCCCGCTGGGGCTGCCTAGTCTGGCTGACGCCATAAGAACACTTGTAACCACAAGACCAGAAGATGCAAGGTCCCACCTAGTAGTTATCCAGATGGTTTCAGAGGCCGTGAGATATTGGGAAATAGAGTTGAATGTTCTCCAAGCTGCAAACAATGCAAATCCTTCGTTTCTACCAGACGCCCGTATGATTGATCTTGAGAACAACTGGTCAGCCCTCTCTTTGCAGATCCAGACTAGTGATGCATTCGCATTTCAAAGGCCTATTACCATCGGCGATGAAGTCGCTGACAATGTTCAGTCAGCAGTCATAAGAGGCATGTTTCTGATGTTGTTCAGATGCGCTAGGCCGCGTCGAGATCTGCAGATGCCGATGGAGGAAGTTAGACGAAAGCGGTTGATCGGCCCAGGTACTGAAATATTGCGAAGAGATCTTGGCCTATCCATTGATCCTCCTCCTGTGCAGAAGGATGATGACACATGCAAGCATTTGGCCGACTCAAGGAGTCGAATAATGGGCCGAGATGGGCTTTGTGTTGAGGTGCAAGGGTTTAACTATAGTGATAGAAATCCAGTTATTCTCTTCGCATGCAGGAGCGGTGACTTCGCGAAGCAACTTTGGAACTTCAGAACAGATGGCCGGATCGTATCATTTGGGAAGTGCTTGGCAGCATCCGGAGTTACTCCTCGAAGCACCGTGGTGATACATGAATGTGAGACCATCCATGAGTCCGCGGTTCGGTGGGAGATGAGCAACTCCGGGACTCTGTCCAACAGGGCCAGCGGATTGGCCTTGCATGCTGCTTCTGGTTCTGGAAGGCAGCTGACGCTGCAGCGTGACATTAGTTCCAGCTTCCAAGCCTGGCAAAGCACTAATATTATTACCCCAGTTGACGTCTATATCCAGGGTGAAAATAATCGGTGCATCTACTACAATGGTGGAACAAACACTTATGTAGAGGGATGTCGCAATGACTACTCCAGGCAAAAGTGGAGACTCTACCCAGATAGTACCATCCGACCTATAGAGTGGCTGAATGGATGCCTCGAGCTTAGTACTTTCGTCGAGCACCCGAGGTATAATTTTATCCAACTTGGGCATTGCAATAACCATCCTGAGTACCATCGCTGGATCTTTACTCAGGGATGCATCATGAATTTATATAGCTCGTTGGTGGTTGACGAGGACAGGGACTATCCAGCAGAAGGGTGGCTCAAGGCAGCGCCCTTCCAAGGTGGCCTCAATCAAATCTGGAAGCTTGTATTTGTATCATAAGTTCATCGCCATGCATGTACTTTATGTTGCATGCTATATAGTGGCGTGCATGTCTCTGTATCTTCTTCTACATACGTAATTGTTGGAAATATGCCCTAAAGGTAATAATAAAGATGTTATTATCATATTTCCTTATTCATGATGAATGTTTATTATCCATGCTAGAATTGTATTGACTGGAAACTTAAAAACATGTTTGGATACGTAAACGAATATCGTGTCCCTAGTAAGCATCTACTAGACTAGCTAGATCATTGATGATCAAAGATGGTTAAGGTTTCCTAATCATAGACATGAGTTGTCATTTGATAACAGGATCACATCATTAGGAGAATGGTGTGATGGGTAGACCCAACTGTAATCTTAGCATTAGATTGTATCACTTAGTTTAACTGCTACCCTCATATCAAGTATCTGTTCCTTAGACCATGAGATCATGCCACTACCAAATATAGGAAGAATACTTTGTTGGTTATATCAAACATCACTTCATGACTGGGTGATCACAAAGGTTCTCTACAGGTATCTCATAAAGCGTTTGTTAGATCACACTCGAGACTGGAATTTGTCATTCCGTATGATGAAGAGATATCTCTGGGCCCTTTCGGTAATACAACATCATGAATAGATTGCAAGCATGTGATTAATGAGTTTAGTCATGTAATATTGCATTACAAAATGAGTAAAGAGATTTGCCGGTAACTAGACTGAATTAGGTATGGCAATACCATCAATTGAATATCGGGTTCGCCGGACAAAGAGAATTGTATATGGGATTAACTGAGTCCTCGACATTGTGGTAAAAACCGATAAAGGGGGCATCTAGGTCCATCTATTGATTATTGATCGGAGAGCAGTCTCGGTCATGTCTGCATGTTCTCGAACCCGTAGGGTCACACACTTAACGTTATGTAACGCTATGGTAGTATTGGGATATTCATATGGTGAAGAACAAAGTAGTTCGGAGTCTTGGATGGGACCCGGGACCTCGCTAAGAGATCCGGAATAGTCCGGAGGTTAAGATTTATATATGAGAAGTGGTCTTTCAAGGTTCCGTAAAAATTTGAGAATTTTAGGTAGAGTACTGGGAAGGTTCTAAAAGGTTCTGGGGATTCCACCATGGGCCCCAACGACCTAGGAAGGTCCCACATGGACCGAGGGGTGGAGCTACAGCCCACATGGGCTAGCCTCACCAGCCACCAAGGCCCATGTCGTTTAAATTTAGAAATATGGTCTTATCTCTAAATTTAAAGGGTTGAATCTAGAAATAAGATGTTATATCTAAATTTAAAGGGATTTATCCCTCTTGGCCGGTGCTATATAAAGAGAGGTGGGGGGGGGCATGAGGGCAGCAACCCTTCCACCCTTGACCGCCGTCTCTGCCAACTCCTCCCATCTCCTCACGCGACGCTTAGCGAAGCCCTGCTGTAATTCCACTGCCACCACCATCACGACCCTCCCTTGCTGGATCAAGAAGGCGGAGACGTCATCATGCCGTACTTGTCCACATCTCGGAGGTGTCATCCGTTCAGCGCTGGATCAGATTGGTCGCGAAGGGAGTACGACTACACCAACCATGATCTCTAGATCATTAACGCTTTCTGTCTACAAGGGTATATAGACACTCCCCCTCTCGCTACCAGCATCTCCATAGAATGGATGTTGGGTGATCCATAGGATTTTTTTTCATGCAAAACATTCCCCATAAGTGGCATCATAAACTAGGTCTATGCGAAGATGTTATGGACGAGTAGAACACAAATTGGTTGTGGGCGTTGATGTTCATATTTCTTACCTCCCTTGTTATTTTTGGATTTGGCGTTATTGTGGGATAAAGCGTCGTGGACCAACTTTACTTCTCTGCGCACAAGAGACCGGTTCCACGACTGACATGCAACTTGTATTGCATAAAGTGGCTGGTGGGTGTCTGTCTCTCCTACTTTAGTTGAATCTAATTTAACAATGCCGGTCATTGTAGAAGGTTAAAAGGCAACTTGTATATCACCATTCTGGCTTTGCGTAGATTGAAATTGTTCTTATTGTTTCTGAAACAATGAAGTAGAGGATGTCTAACTTGTTTTTGCAGGGCATGTGATGTGATGTGGTATGTCCACTGTTCAAGAATTCATCCGATTAATCAGTTAACAGTCCAGTTAATCGCTACTCCTAGGGTAGAAGGATCGAATAACACCTATTCGTTGGGTTAACTTGATAGGTCGATTAATTGGCCCGTTAGACCAATTAATCGCTACTGCTTCATTAACTTGTTTCCAAACAAAGCCTAAAATTTTGGCCTGTAACCCCTCCCATCCCCCTCTTGCTCCTCGTTATCTAGGTTTCGACCAAATAGTAGCATATTTTGATATATTATATTGCTGGGAGCATGAGAGTATGGTGTAATACGTAAAAAACTAGATATATGTTGGCAAGTTCCTATTTAATCTACCGATTAATGGTCGACCGACTAATCCAGTTAATAGGCCGATTTGCTGATTAATCACTACCCACAAGAAGGCCAAGCAGCTACCAGTTACCGATTTCCTGAACAATGGGTATATATGTCCAAGATGTAATTTGATACATGTTGATGTATGAGATGTTCATGTTTTGTAATGGTTCACGACTCGCATGTCGATGAGTACGGCAACCGGCAGGGGCCATAGGGTTGTTTTTAATTTATTGTATGACTTGCGCGCCAATCATTAAATGCCATGTAATTGCTTATTTTATCGCTATGAGTTAGCAATAGTTGCAGAAGCAATAGTTGATGGAGACAAGCACATGACGACACCTCGGATTGCCATGCTTGCCAAAGGAAATTGCCATGCTTGCAACAACATAATGTGCTATGCCGGCCATCAGATTTGTAGAGAAATCCATTTTTGGGGACTTTATGGTCATGTAAATTCGTGTGATCGTTACGACCACAAGACATACACGTGCCACATCTTTTACGTACCATCCTGCATGGGGCTCTAATTTATCCCTTCGGTGATGGTGTCGTCTGGAGCAGGGAGGGAAGATGTGGTTGGGTTTCTTTGTATAGTATAGGTAGCTATACTCCCTCTATCCCACAATACAACAACATTTTGCAAGCTAAAACATCTTGCGAAACGATCTTTTATTATGGGACGCGGGGATTAGACGCGAGGCTGAGTATGACATCATGACGTTTCACTATTATGGGAAACCCAGCATCTTAGCAGTAGCGCTGGACAAAACAGGGCACTACTGCTACTTAGTAGTAGCGAGTTTAAATAAACCGCGCTACTGCTACTACTTTAGCAGTAGCGCCTTCTGCTAAAGAACGCTGCTTCTATACTTGTACTGGGCGCAGATGACTAGCCCCACTTAGCAGTAGCGCGTATTCCCGACAAGCGCTACTGCTACGTTAGCAGTAGCGCGTTTTTTCTGAAACGCGCTACTACTTAGTTACCTTATCCTAGAGCGGTTCACTGCACCGGTACCCTCTGACTCACTCTCTCTCCCTCTCACCCACTCTCGCCCGGCCACGTCGAACCCGTCGTCCGCCGCTGCCGCGCTGCTCCTCGCTGAGGTACTCTCTCCTCCCCCTCCTCCTCCAGCCGCCCTCCTCCCACCACCCCTCCCTC